CCTCACAGCGCCTGGGCTCCCGGCGCCATGAGCCTGCAGCCCCGTGGAGGACAGGGCAGTGACCGGAGCCGCCGGGGCGGGGCCAGCAGGGGTGGGCAGACGGGCTAAGGAGACTCCCGGAGCCCTCAGGGGCCTCTCCAGGCCTTTGGTGATCTTTCTGCGCCCTGTAGCACGGCTACTGGGCCCAGGGCGGGCAGGGGTGCCAGGGGCTGGCAGGCGCGTCCTGAGCCTCTGGGCTCTGAGGTGCTCTTGTAGCCAACCCCCCACCCAGCTGCCCTACAGTCCCGCCTCCACACCCAGGGGCGCACTCTCGCAGCCCACACCTGCTCCAGGTGGCGCCGTCAGGCCTGCTGCCCAAGCCCATGCCCGCACCCGCGCCCACGGCCCAGCGCCTCCTGCATCCAAGTCTGCAGGTGACAGCCGCAGGGGCAGCAGCGCAGAGCCTCAGCCTCTTCGTTCCCCACAGGAGGAGCCGGCAGAGAGACAGCCGCGCTCCCCCAGCAGGGGCCGGGCAGAACCCCAGGAAGGGAGGGGGCCGCAGGGCCCGCAGGAGACACAGGGGCAGGAGTTGGGGGGCAGCCCTCCTGCAGTGACCCTGCCCGCGGCACCCCAAAGCAGGGCTGAGGAGGCAGGCACCGAGGAAGAGCCCAGCCCGAGTGCAGGGCCGGCGCGGAGGCCTGAGGACCGGCGCGCAGAGGGTCTCCCGCGCTCTGCTCAAGTGTCACCCGCGCTGATGTGTGTGAGCGCCCAGGAGCCCCAGAAGTGGCTGGGGTGCAGCCAGGGGCCCTGGGTTTCGGGCACTGCACCCGGAAACCCCAGCAAGGCCAGGAGGCTCCCTCCAGCCGTGGCACCCCAGGGGACAGAGGCACCCCAGGACAGGGTGTCCCGTCACCTTGCCGCGGGGTCAGTCAGGAACAGGGTCAAGGCTCAGGGGACACCGGCCCTGGCCTGGGCTGATCTCACCTCTTGGGGGGCCTCTGGTCAGGGGCCCGTGGGAGGTCAGCTCCGGTCCTAAAGCGCCTCTCCCTCCATTCCAGACGCCCCGACACAAGACTCTGGGTTTGCTGGGTCCCGTGGGGGTGCCACCTCACCAGGGGCCCACGATCCCCTAGCCACGTGCCCTCCGGGTGCGGGGAGCACCCCGAAGGGCTCAGAGGCCTCTCCCTGTCCAGCGTGGGAGTCTCAGCGCCGCGGCCCCCGCAGTGCCAGGCTGGGCCAGCAGGCCCGCTGGGCAGGGCCACCAGCTGCATCCTGCGCTTGGGCAAGGCCGGGCAGTGCCCAGCCTCCACCCTCGGTCAGCACTTAGGCGCCTCTGGCTCACATGGGGGCACACCCAACAGTGTCCAGAGAGCTGGCCGACCCTCAGGTGGGCAGAGCCCGGGAAGAGACCCCCAGGGGGCCCAAGGGCTGTGCTGGGGTGGTGGACCCTCAGATCAGTCTCTCGCCCCGTGGCACTAGCACGAGTGCCCCACGTGGGGTCGCCTGGGCACACCTTCACCCCAGCCGGTGCCCACTTTCAGTCACTCCCAGGAGCCGTGTCCCCACACCAGCCCACAGCCACGCACGGGCCTGGGCCAAGGCTGGGTGGCTGTGCCCATGGCGGGGGGCCTGGGCCGGCGGTCGGGGGGAGGCTGCACCGCTTGTTCCGTGAGGCTGTCCCCGGCCCCTGGGGATGCCCTCCAGCCGGGCTTGAGCCCTAATGACCAGTCCCACCTCACCCCTCTTGAAGCAGAGGCCTGAAGGGCTGGGGAGACTGACCGCGGAGGGCAGGTCCGCCCCCCAGATAGAAGGCAGCGCTCCCCACCTACGGGCGGGCGCCCCCCTGGCTCTACCTGCAGGCACTGCCCAGCCCGGCCCACCTAGTGGACTCGACGCTTCTCCTTGACGTGATGTGAGAAGCCACGTGGTCACTGGTCAAGGGGCCTCTGAAGCGCAAAGACCCTCTGGACCGACGGAGTTCCTGAGCGCCAGGGCAGGCGTTAACTGTGCAGCATTTACATGCAGCCGGGCAGCCGGGCAGGAGAAGGCGAGGGCCGGCCGGGCCCTGGCGCCGGACCCCCTTCCGCTCTGCCGTCTAGAGAACAGAACGTGCTGCAGAATTGCATGAAGCTGACATTTTATTTTATTTTTAAAATAAAAGCCCATCTGTGAGGTAAGTAAATGGAAGTTACCAGGTTTCCCTGCCCTCCCGCCATCAGCATCAATGATCTGCAGGGGACGGCGGCCCGGGCACGGTGCCGGCGAGTGGGAGCGGGCGCCTGAGCGGAGGCGGAGGTACCAGGCGGCCACAGAGGACCGGCAGGGGCAGGTCATGTGGCGGAGAGTGGCTGCGAGAGGAAGGTGCGGAGAGGGCTCCGGGGCCACGCTGCTGTCCCCGCTGGCCCATGTCCCTGCCTGCGGGGTGATGCGAGGGCTGCGAGGTTCTCTTGAGCTGCCAGAACCCACAACGAACCGGCCCGGCCTGGGCAGCTGCAGAACAAATGGGGACTTAGTTTTTAAGCTTAGTGATGACACCCCACAGTCGCGGGCGGGCAAGTCTGAACTCCGGTGCAGACAGGCCACGGTGGGCGCTGCGACCTGAGGCAGAACTCTTGGACACGTGTCAGCCTTCGCAAGGCCTTCAGCTGATCAGACGCGTCCACCCACATGGCCAGGGGCCATCTCCAAGTCTCCGCACCGCGCCCGCAGACGCCCTCATCGCAACAGCTGGACTCGTTGCTCAGCGATGGGGCACTCTGCCTGGGTGGGTGTGAGAGCCGCACAGCCGCTTGGGGGGGGGCAGGCACGGCCAGGCTGCTGGGCGCGCGCTCTCCGGCCTCACGGTGCTGGCCGCCCTCCCTCCAGTGCAGCGCCCTTTCGCAGAGCAGCCCCTGCTTCCTCCCTCTTAGCAGTGACGGCCCACACCAGCCCACACCAGCCCCCACCTTGAGCTGAGGTCTAACCCTAAGACAAGCCCAGGGCCTCCCCGCCCAGAAGGGCCCAGAGCAGCTCCTGCCCCCGGGTCCTCAGAGCATCCGCGGGCGCAGCTCGAGCTCTCCTGCCCATCCACGACGAGCGGGGCAGAGAAAGCACTAGGGATCCCCGGAGAGCTGCTGCTTTCCTCGTGTTGAGCTAGTTGCATGGCAGCTAATCCACCAAGAATGCAGCCTGAACAACGACCTCACTTTCACCTCAAAAACACATCTTTAACGCAGCACGAGAAGGGGTCTCAGCTGAGCCTCGGCTGTTGGGCAGGTGGAGCGCAGCCTCCATTCCACTTCTCCGCTCCTCGCACCCAAGGGCTGGTGTTGCCTCCGGTTCTCCTCTCATCGCCTCTAACTCCCTCACCACAGGTCTGCGCTGCCCAGGCCAGCCCGTGCCCTGCCCAGGCCGGCCGGGGCGTCTCAGCTGCCGCGCTCCGTTCCCCGTGCCTCTCTCAGTCCGCGCCTGCCTCAGCAGCGAGCCCCAGAACACGCTGTCAGTGCTCCTCTGGGTTCGGGTCAGCTCGCAGCCCTGCCCGAGGAGGGGCCACGAGCAGCCATGGCTGGGGACCCTGGATCTCCTCACCCGGAGGCTGGCCCAACCCAGGGTCCCTGCAGTCTCAGCGGACCAGCCTCAGTGGCTCAGAGCTCAGGCCATTCAGACCCCCTCTGCTGCCGGCCCACCGCCCCAATCCTGCCTGGACCCGCCTCCTGGCAAACCTCCTGACCGCATGTGGCTGCGACCCCGTGTGGCTGCGACCCCGTGTGGCTGCGACCCCGTGTGGCTCCCACCCCGTGTGGCTCCCACCCCGTGTGGCGTGCGCCCTCATCTCCACTGACCCAATTTAAGGCCTCAGCCTCCTGCTGCACAGTCCACTCCCCCTTCCTGTCCTTATTTTTCTATCCACTCCGTCTGCTCCCTCCCTGTCCTGCTCCCGCCGTGGCCTCACGTAAGTGTGAGCTCCCGGGGCCAGCGCTGGCCACTCCTTAGCGGGGCGTCCCTGGGCCTTGCGCAGGGCGTGGCAGGCGGCAGGGCTGACCAGCAGTGATGCAGTGACGGAGGGACTCGTCTCTCTCCCGGCCGCCGGACCCTCCACGGGCTACAACCTTGCTTTCTTCACCCAAGGGGAAAAGAGGCTCCCTGGGGAGGCAGCACCCGAATTGCTGACCGCCGGGTGACAGCGGCTGGCGCCCCTCCCCCAAGTCTCCAGGTGCTGCACGGCCAGGAGGGACGTGCTGACCGCTGCCCACTCCCCTTCGCTCCCTGGAGACGCCCGAAAATCACCCCTGGCCTCGGCCAAAGGGCAGGACGGGCCTCTCCCCAGTCGGCCGCCGCCTCAGGGCCGCGGGGCGGGCGCGGAGGTGCCCAGGGGCGCGCCCTCTTCCCGCAGACCGGCCTCTGCGGCCACAGCGTCCCCGGGAGGGCCGGCGCCCCCCGTCCCCGGACGGTGACCCCACCCCCGCACAGGCGCGACCCCGCGGGGCCCCCGGGACTGACCCCCCGCGCGGAGACCCCCGCCGCACAGGCGCGACGCGCCGCCCGCGAGCCCCGACACCGACACCGGGCCCTCCGGGAGTCCCGGTGCTCACGCCACGTCCGAGAGGGCCGCGCGACCGGCCTGGAGGTGGGTGGCCAGGTGCGGCCCGCCCAGGTGTCAGCCCGAACAGGTGCGGCCCGTCCAGGCGCCGAGCGCGCCCGCCATTGGCTGGTCCCCGAGGACCGCGCTCCCATTGGCCGATGGTCGGGACAGGGCGGGGCCTCCCTTAATCCCCGCCCCCGCCCCGCCCCGCCCCGCCGGCCTCCCGGAAGCGCACCTGCCCGCAGAGGAACCGGTCGAGTCAGTGGGCGTGACCCGCGGCGGTTGGCGCAGGCGCAGTCGGCGCGGGGCGTGCCCCACCCCGAGCCTCCGGGTAACCCCACCCCCTCCCGCGGCGGCGCAGAAAGCGGGTGACGTCATCGAGCGGGGCCGCGGCGTGGGGCGCCATTTTGAAGAGAGGGCGCTGTCCCTCAGGCGGCGGCGGGCTGAGGCCTCGGCGGGCTGCTCGGGGCCGCCTCCTGCCTCCGCGGGCCATGGCAGGTGAGGGCCCCGGGGCGCGGGCCGGCGCTCCGGGCGGGGCAGGGGCGCGCAGGGACTAGGCGCGGGGCGGGCGGGCCAGGGGCAGAGTCGGGCCGGGGGGCAGGGGCGCGGGGCTGGGGCAGGGGTGCGGGGCAGGGGCGCGGGGCTGGGGCAGGAGCCGGGGGGCAGGGGCGCGGGGGGCAGGGGCGCGGGGCTGGGGCAGGAGCCGGGGGGCAGGGGCGCGGGGGGCAGGGGCGCGGGGCTGGGGCAGGGGCGCGGGGGGCAGGGGCAGGAGCCGGGGGACAGGGGCGCGGGGCAGGGGCGCGGGGGGCAGGGGCAGGAGCCGGGGGACAGGGGCGCGGGGCAGGGGCGCGGGGGGCAGGGGCGGGAGCGGGGCAGGGGCGCGGGGCAGGGGCGCGGGGCTGGGGCGGGGGCGCGGGGCTGGGGCAGGAGCCGGGGTGCGGGGCGCGGGGCTGGGCAGGAGTGGGGGCCAGGGGCGGGGGCGCGGCCGCGCGGGCCTCACGCAGGTGTGTTCGCAGGGCCGGCGGCGGCTCCGGGTGGTGCTTCTCGCAGGTCAAGGATCCACGACCCGGGCGTGCGGAAGGTGAGTGCGGGGCCGGGGGCGGGGGCGGGGTGTGCGGCCGGCCCGGGAGGGCGGTGGAGGGTTTCTAAGGACCAGGCCACTGCTCGGGCCGCCTGGAAGGTGCTGGCCAGGCCCTTCCCTGTGCCGGGGCTGCAGGCCAGGTGGCCTGGGCGGTCTGTGGGTCTCAGCTTCATCTTCATAAAGGGACTGGACCCTGGGTCCTTGGGTTGCTTTCTGGGGGGGCCATAATGGTGACCTAGTGGAGTTCTGGGGTGGCCCTTTGCCTCCAGCATGCCGGGCCTGAGTGGTGTCCAGGGGAAGCTTACCTCTCCCCCCTAAGGCTGACCCTGCTGGCAGGCAGCAGAGCCCAGAGGGATGCTTTCCCGGTCAGCATTTGGCTGAGAGCCCTGGACGGTGATCCTCCTCTCCCGGATGCTCTGTCTTTTCCCGTGGTGGGTCGTCCTGTTGCTCCCCAACCGGGTCCTGGCAACAGACTCCTGCCCCGGTCACAGTTGGAAGCACCACCTGGTGCCCCTGGCCAAACTCGGACAGCAGGGGGCGAAAGGGGTGGGGGGATGCTTTCTTCCTGGGGCCTCTGGCTGGCATTTGATTCAGTGTTTGGTGGGTGAGCTCCCGGGAAGTGTTGACTCCACATGCGTAGTAAGTGTGGCCGGGAAAGCTGCGGGGAGCAGTTGCTGGCTGCAGGTCCAGCGAGGGTACCTGTCGCACCAACTGCTCTAAAGAGTGCGCTGGGCCGGGTTGTGCTTCAAGTTGCCAAAGCTGACTGTTGTTGTCCACCTGATCCTTTCATCGCTTACCTGATGTGTTACCTGTTGGCATGTCTCTGACTTAAGAGGTGAGAGTTATTTCTTCCGGGAGGACCAGCCCATCTCCATAAGCACGAACACACCCCAGGCCCAGTCTCTGCCGGTGTCTGAGTCGGCTGCTGGGGAGCACTGCTGTGGGAGTGGGGAGTGAGAAGAGGGCGCCTCTTTCAGCCTCTCTGTCGTGCCCTGCGTTGGACACAGACTCACGGTGGATGCAGCCGGGCGGTGGTGGCCGAGGTGGGTGCCCTGGGAGGGTGGCACTGGCCAGAGGGCTGGGCCTGGAGGAGCGGCTGCTCTTGACTGGGTGAGGCTGGAGCTTAGCCTTTCGACCCCAGGGGGAGATGAGCGTGGACCTGGATACACCAGGGTGGGGGCTGCAGGTGGCCTGTGCCCTGGCGTAGACTTGGGGTGCCTGCCGCAGGCATCCTTGCTCACGTGTGATGTGCTTCCAGCACCCCAGGATGTGGGGCCACTGCCTCTGTTAGCTGTTTTGAATTGCTACATGCTGGGGAGGGCAGGGCATGGTGGGTGCAGCTGCCAATTCCCCGGGGCCTCGGTGGTGGTTGTTGGATGTTGGACATCTAATTCTTCTCTCATTTAGTTTTTAAAAGACACTGTGTTCTTTACATATTCCGGATACTAGATCCTTCCCTCACTTAGGAACATCTCTCCCACCCTGTGCGTTACCTCACCTTAGCTGTACCGTAGCTGCCCAGGGATGACCAGTCTTGATGCTCTCCGCTTGCCGCCGCCTCCTGTCTGCCATGCTTTTGCCCCGAGAGACTCTCGTCTCGGAGATCACAAGGCTCTGCTGTTTGCTTTCAGGAGTTTTCTGATTTCAGGTCCTAGTTTGTGTCAGATCCATTTTGAGGTAGTTTCTGCACGCGGCATCCAGGCAGGCTCAAGGCATTGCTTGTCCCGCGGCCATTTGCTGGACGATGTTTTCCCAGGAGGCTGGAAGCACTGGTGAAAACCTGCCTGCCCTGGCGGCTGGGGTCTTTGTGAGGCTGTGCTGTGCCGTGCCTCGGGCCATGCTGCCTCGGGGCCTCTGTGTTATGGTGCCTAGAGCAGGAGTCCTCAGCCGCTTCCCTGGTGGCGCAGGGGTCAAGTCTCAGCGCACCGAGTGCGCCCCGCCTCCCTTGACGGAAAGTCTGATCCAGCTTCTGTGGGGCTGCTGTGTTTGGGGGGGGGGGCGACCCGAACACTTACTGGGGAGGTGCTGCAGCAGCCATGCCCACCTGACAGCAGAGGCTGAGTGGGAGGGGCGTGTGGGGAGATGCCACAGCCCCCGGGGGCCCGCCTGGACCCCTGCAAGTTCTGCCCGGAGCCTGGTCGTCCAGAGCCCCCACCCGCAGCCCCGCTAATCCGAGGGGCGCACTGACCTGAGCCCGGTTCTGTGCTGTAGGGGCCGTCAAGCAGGTTGATGTTGGCGACTTAAACATGTTGGTGCCGTGATTGTGTGTCTCGTGTGTGTGCATCTTGATTTTGGGGCCCTTCTAAGCTGTGCAGAGGGCATTGCTAATGTTAGGTTCTTATTTGTGTAGCTTAATGAAAATAATTTCTCATCACGGGCAGCCTTGGCAGTTTCTCTGGGCAAAGCGTCAGTCCATGGTCATTCCGTGTGAGTCACCGGCAGCTGCGCCAGCCATCACGCGCTGTGGCGCCCTCCGCTGGAAGTGACGAGAACCTTTTAATCCGTGTGGCTATTTTAGAATCACTGAAGCAAATAACTTTGAGTAACCTGGTTTAAAAAGTGACATTTCTAACAAGAAATGCGTCTGGCAACACCTCAGGCGGGCGAGCCGGTTGTTGTCTGCACCCAGTGGCCCGGCCTCCCCTGGCCCCTCCCCGGCCTCCGGGGCTTGGCCGGGTTCTGCCCTCCAGCCCAGCTGCCGCCTGGGGACTCGCCCGTGACGCCATGAAGGGGTTTCTTTGTTGTCTCCGCAGGAGGAAGAGCCCGGCCCCCGCCTGATGCCGCGTGTTGGTCGCTGTAACCTCGGCACAAGCTCCGCCGGCAGGTCCTGGGAAAAGCGCACTCTCTGGAATTGGGCATCACACCCGAGTGCGTGACCGCGACGGCAGTAATTACCAGGCTTGCGTGCAGGTGGGTGCGGGTCTTCTGTGTCACTGCGCAGCCCGCGACCTGAGCCGTCCGTGGGCTGGCGGCGGCGATCTGCTGCAGTCCTCGGGGCTCGTGGGTGTGGTCCGAGGCCAGGCCTCCAGCTCACAGCGCCTGGCACTGCCCAGGGCCTGGGTGTGGGTGTGGGCTGGGCCAACCAAGCGGCAGGTGCCTCAACGTGGAGCTCCTCCTGAAGAGTTACACACGTGGGCGGTGTTGCAGTGTCTGCACCTGGTGTGAAAGGAGGTTCTAGGTCTTTCTCACTTCGATCCCAGTGCTCAGCTTTTTCCATCCGTATGCCTGGTCTGTGTGAAATAAAGCTTTTAGAACCGAAACTGAACCTGAAGTACTTCTCCCCCCGCAGCTCTGCTGGGTCCCCAAGGGCTGCCCGCCTTGGTTTCCACTTGTTTGACATCATCTTGTTGATGGCATCATTTTCTGGTCTGCAAATCTCCTGCCAAGGGTTTGTGACGGCTTTTAGTGCCCAGATGCCACCACCCTCCTCCACCTGCTCCTGGGCTGCTGCTGTCAGCCCGTCCAGCGACGACTCGCTTGTTCACCTCGTGTTAGATCACCCCTGGGGGTCCCAGAACACCCGTCGTCCAGCGGGAGACAGATGGTCCCACGAGGGCCTCCGGGTACGGGCTCCGCAGCCCAGCCTGTGTGTGTGGTCGCCGGGATCCAGAGAGATGGTCTCCCCCAACACAGGCTTGAAATGGTGACACCAGCAGAGGCCTGCCCACCCGCCACCTGCCCGGTGAGGCCTGCCGCTCTTCTCCCGGGCAGGCGCGTCACATCCCGTTTCACCCTGTTCCTGCCCAGGCCCGCAGCTCGCTTTGCTGCCACACCTCGCCTGGGTGGCGCGGCCTCTAGGTCAGGAGAAGCCCTGGGCCCAGCGTGGCAGCTCTGGGCGGGCCAGAATTTGCCTTCCCAGGCCTGGCCCTCAGAATAGAAAGACACTGACATTTTAAACAAAACCTTAGGGGGGGTCCTGCCTCCCAGTTGGCACAGCGAGTGTCAGGTCACACGTGGGACAGGTCAGCTAGGGAGGACCCTGGTGCCTGTCCAGCGCACAGCTGGTCACCACACCCATGGCTCGTCTACAAGGCTGCTGAGCCCCTAGGGGCCTGGTGCCCTTGGGCGGTGCGGAAGCCCACCCGACCCCATGGGCCCAGAGGGTGCCTGGCCAAGGACACCGGCCGTGGGGGCAGCCGCAGGGCAGGTGACCCCGTGCACCTGCACAGACTCAGATCAAAGTGCTCTGAGCTGCTGCTCCCGGGAGCCACATCTAAATATGGTCAAAGGTTTTTTAAGTTAAAATGTTACATTTTTTTTTTAACACCTGAAGTTGCAGTGGAAAAGGGAAGCAAGAGCAACGGCTTGGCTCTTGGCTCAAGTACAGCAAACAGTGTAACCGGCTGGGGAGGCCTCCCCGCAGCTTCCAACTGCACGGAAAGTCGTCTTGGCAGGATTTGGCAAAGATTTATTTGTTTCTATCTCCAGGTTTTTTTAAGTAGACACAGATTTGCTTAGAATGAAGCGGACCCCAAGAGCACGTGAAACTGAACACAAGGGCAGAGGCCAGATCGGCCTCAGGGGCTGAGGGTGGCCAGGGCCGCGTCCGCAGCAGACAGGCCGGAGCCTGGACTCGACCTGCGCTGGGGCCCTGCGCTTCCGGCCAGGGTGCGGGCCGAGCCCCTCCCACCACCTTAGCTGGGCGCTACTGAGCTTCCAGAACAATAGTGTTTCTACTGAACTAAGGTTACTGATCATTTTCGTTAAAATGCTACATCACGACGACCAGTGTCGAGGGCACGCAGGTGTCATCTCGCACCGTCCAAAGGAAGTCGGCTGCCGGCCCCGGCGCGCTGGCCAGCGGCGTACTTGCAGCCCCGCAGCCTGGCCACGGCCAGTGAGCATCAGCGGCTGCTCCCGCGCTTCTGGGGAGCAGCACAGCATGTGCGGGGGGTGGGGGGTGGGGTGCAGACGGGGCTCCCGCGGCCAGGCTGAGCCAGACCCACTCGCGGGGAGAGCCGCACGCTGCGCGTCAGAAGGTGCTGGTGGAGGTCGTCAGGCGCCTCCCAATGTAGATCCTGCAGGAGAGCACGGGCATGAGCACCGGCCACTGCCCCGGCCCAGCGTCCACCCGCACAGTGGTGTCTGTGCCCGGCAGCCTGAGGTCCAGAGGGCGGGAGGACAAGATCTGGATGGGGCAGATGCTCGGGCCCGAGGGTGGCCTCCCCTGCCCAGACCCTTAACAGGTGGGGAACCTCAGCCACACTGGCCCGGACAGTAGAGGCCACGCCAAGGCCCTCTGCGTCCTGTGTCCAGTGGCCCATATGCGTCCTGCAGTCACACGGAACCCAGCCAAGTCAGAAGCTCTTGGATAACCCAGTCTGCCCAAAAGAACCACCAGCACCCACGGGTGGGGGCAGGGGCCAGCTGGACGGCCCTGCTCAGGCTCTGGGAGTTGACCGGCCAGCACAGCAGCGGGCCTTGGGGCCCTGGGGCCCCACAGCACAGGTCTGTGCCCGCACTCAGGACACGTGGTGCCCTCCAGAGAGGCCCAGGGTGAGGGAGAGGCCCGCCGGGGGCGCGGGGGCAGCCCACTCACCCCAGCCCGATGGCCAGCAGGTGGGAGAGCAGCAGAGACGGGAGGAACACCTTCAGGAACTCGGCCGAGAAGATGCCGCCTTTCTTCATCACGCTGGTGTTCCTCATGCTGAGCGTGGGCGCGCGTTTCGGGTGCTTGAAGAGGAACTCCCTGCGGGGAGGGGACGGTGAGCCCTCGCCCCCCTCGCCGCGGAGGCCCCCCCACCCCCCACGGCCCACCTACTTGGGGGGGATGTTTTCTGGCCGACTCGACCAATCCCAGATCCAGTCTGAGTTCTTCTTCAGGATGCTCTCGACCTCTCTCCGCCTCTCGATGTAGTCTTCCTCGGACTAGGGGAGAGGCGGGTCAGCGCGCCCATCGGAGCAGCCTGCTAGGCCTGCGGCCCCGAGCGGCCGGCACAGCCGAGGGCGTGGCAGGGCGGGGCACGGGGCGTCCTCACGGGAACACCTTGAATGGCCGCTGGGGTGACATGGAGGCCGGGCCTCGAGTTGCGGGTGGGCTCGGGAGGAAGGTGCGGGGCCCGTGGGCAATGGGTGGCCGCCGCAGATCCACTTCCCCGAGTTTTCCCCCAATACATGCTCCCCTGGTGAGTGTCCAGCGCTGTAAATGAGCGCACCCCTCAGTGCGGGGGGCCCTTCCCGTGGGCGTCACTTGTGAAAACACGGTACCAGCTGCGCGCAGGAGGCTCGTGCCTGTGGGCGCAGCTGAGTCGGCCTGGGGCCCGACGCGCGCGGGTCTCCAGCTGCCGTGGGGACCGTCCCGAGCCCAGGTGCTCGAGGGTCAGTGTGCTCTCGTGTGCGTGGGAGCAAAAGGTCCCCGAACTTATATCCACCCGTGCTGCTGCTGCACTTTAAAAATCACCTAAGGTTCTCATCTTGGCAATACTCCAGGACGGGCTACCCAGGTCCTGCGGGTCTGGGAGGAGGCCAGTGGCGCGGAGGCCCTGAGCCCACCAGGGGGCATCCTGGGACAGCTGCGTGGTGCTAGGGGGCGCCCTGTGCAGACCGCCCCTGCAGTGAACTCTGGGCACAGCCCACCGTCCTGCCACCACGGGCCTCGCGTGGCAGGCTGTCGCGGCCCCCCGGGGCAGTCACGCTGAGGTCTGCACTGGGTCCGTGGCCCACCAAACACAGCTGGGTGGGCACTGCCCGCCCAGTCAGCACCTAATGCTCGGTCACACAGGAGGCCTGGGCATGAGTGGCTGGCAAGGGCCAGCCCCATCACGGCTCCCTGGAGCCCCTTCCTTCCCTGCACCTTCCACCGGCTCGTGGGTGGCCCCAGCCAGCGGCCCTCCCAAAGGCGAGGCGCCCTGCGCCAGGGGTGCCTCCACCCAGGGTGTTCACACCGGCGAAGGACGCGCCCAGCCGCTGCTCCCACCCGACAGCGAGGGCTCCTGGGCCAGCCGCGCCTCACCTGAGAGCTGTTCTTCTCCCCCAGGCTGTGGGCGTCCGCCTCCAAGGCTCTGCTAGTGTCCTGCGGGGTCTGGGACCGAGGCGGGCTTGGCGACAGAAAGGGACAACACAGCCTGTGAGCGCCCTCCCCGCTGGGCGGGCACCCCTGCCCTCGCCTCGCGCGCCCCGCTGCCGGGCCCCACCCACCTGTCGCAGTGCGAGCTCTTGGAGCTGCTCCTGCCCGACTCGTGCTGGGCGTCCAGCAGGATCTTCTCCATGTCGCCGTTGTAGATGGAGACCGAGGCCGGCGCGCCGCCGTTGCTGCTGAAGTGCAGCTCCACCCAGGAGCCTGCGGGGACAGCGGCCTGAGCCTCGCGGGCCAGCTGCCAGTGAGACCCACGCCCCAGGGCCGCGCAGCTGAGTGAGCCCAAGTTCACCGCCTGCCGGGCCACCGGGCGCTCTCCATGCAGACCTCTAGATTCAGGGAGTGACCTTGGCCCAGGCCCCCCCACACACACACACCCCTGCAGGCAGAGCCGACCTGCACCGGCCTGGGCCCTGCTACCGCCCAAGCCCCAGGCCAGGCCCGCCTGGGGTGCCCGCGTCCTCCGGGGGCACAGCTCCCTGGGGGTGTGGGGCACCAGCGACTGCTTCTCTGAGTGTGTCCCGGGGGCTGGCAGGCAGGTCCCACAGGGGGACATGACCTCACAGTCCTGTCCAGGGCTGCCGGGGAGGCCCCACTCCTCTGCCGGCCGGTCCCCCAGCACGTCACTCGGGCACGAGGGAGGCCGACTGGCAGCCGGGGGCTCCCTGGACAATAGCCCAGGCCACGCAGGCCCTGCTGCCGACTGACAGCAACTCCGAGATGCCTGCACCTCCACTGCCCGCAGCCACCAAGGGTGTCCCCGGGGCAGGCGGCGGCAGTGCAGCAGGAAGCAGCACCAGATGGGCCCCACGCAGGGCCGCACTCATTTCTCTAGGTTCAGTCCCTGTTCCTCGGTGTCTGGGTCTGACTCGGTCTACCCAAGTGAGCTACGGGCCTGGTGGCGCGTGTCTGACGCAGGTGGAGTCTGGGGGCCTTTCCGGGTACCCAGCGTGGGGAGGGGCTCCCACATCAATAACCAGCTCACCACCACAGGGCAGCTCCACACGCGGTTCAGCCCCCAAGATCGGCCTGAGGGCAGAGCCCTGGGCCTCACGCCCCCCCCCCCCCGCAGGGGCCCACCAGAACCACACACCACCCCCCCCCCCCCCCCCGCCCTCTGAAGACAGGACACCGCGGAGGTCCAGGGGCGCTGGCACCCGTGTGCTCTCGGCGCAGCAGGACCAGGCTGGGGGGTGCTGTGTCCACTGTCCCATGGGCCACCGCCTGAGCCCAGGCCCAAGGGGGCCCCTCCCGAGCCCAGGACACGCCCCCAGAAGCCCCGGGGCGCTCCTGCAGCCTGGGCTCTGCGGAAGGCCTCCTGGGGCCCGGCGGCCAGGCGGCCCTCAGGGGGGTTGATGATTAACCGGCGCCCGCGCAGCCCCTCCTGAGAGCGGAGGACGCGCCGGGCGCCCGCAGCCACCAGGTCACGCGCCTGCCCGGCACGTCGGGGACCAGCGCCCCCTCCAGCTCCTCCCGCCTGCCGGGCGGGGCGGGGTGCGCACAGGAGGCAGACCCCGAAAGCAGACAAGCGGGAGGCCGCCCCCAGCCTCCCCGCCGCCGCGGCCCCGCGCTCCCGGCTGTCGGGACACCCCACGCGAGCCCCGTGCGTGCCCGCGGGCCGAGCAGGACCCGCCCGGGGCGAGCGGACTGGAGCCCGGCGGCGGCGCGGCTGGAGCGGGCTGTGCGGGGCTTCTGGGGTCCGGCCCCGGCGGTGCCCGCCTGGCCCCACCAGGTCCCCACCAGGCCGGGGCCCGCGGGTCGGGGCGCGGGAGGCGCGGCCGCCGGCGCGAGGTCAGGCCCAGGGCGGGCGCCGCGCGCGGCTGTTCCTGGCGCCGGCCCGGCCCGCCCGGCCCGTGCCCCGCCGCACGTAGGCGCGCGCCGCGCCGCTGCTTTTTATAGCGCCGGGCGCCCGCCGCCCCCGGACGCGCCGCGGGGTCGCCACGGACGCGCGGGGGGGCGCCCCGCGCCGCCGGGACCCCGCGGGCCGCCCGGGCCGAGCCGCCCCCCGGGCCCGCGACGCGCGTGGGCGCCCCCGCCGGGGCCGCGGCGGCCGAGCCCGGGATGCCCGGCCGGGCCCAGTCCCCGCCGCGGGCGCGGGGACCCGCGAGGACACTGGGGCGCCGCCGGGCCGCCCTGGCCCCGCGCCCGGTCCCCGCGCCGCGCCGCGCACCTCCCCGCGCCGGCCCGGCCCGGCCCGGCCCGGCCCGACCCGGCCCGGCCCGGCCGCCTCACCCTGCAGGGTCTCCTCCTGCAGCCCGGGGGTCCCGCTCTGCGACATGGCGCCGGGCGCGCTGGGCCGGGGTCCGGGCGGGGCGGGCCGGGGTCCGGGCGGGGCGGGCCGAGACGGGTCGGGCCGGGTCGGGTCGGGCCGGGCCGGGCCGGGCAGAGACGGCGTCAGCGCGAGCCTCACTGCGCGGCGCGCGGCGCGGGCTGCGGCGTCCCCGGGGCGCGGGGCGGGGCCTGCACCTGCGCCTGCGCGGGGGCGGCGGCGCGTGCGGCGCGTGCGGAGCGTGCGCGGGGAGGGGGCGGTGCCCGAGGAGCGAGACGCGCGTGCGCGGGGCCGAAGCCGGGGGGGGGGGGGGGGTCGCGGAGCGCGCGTGCGCGGTCGCCGGGCGAAGAGCGGGGAGGGGGCCCTGGGCGGGGCCTCTGGGCGCGGCATGCGCGGGGCGGGGCCTCGGGGCGGGGCCTCTGAGGGGCGGGGCGTGCGCGGGGCAGCAGTGGCCGCCCACCCGGCCGGGTCCACCCGTCGCGGCCGCGGCCCGCCCCAGGGGGACTTGCAGGTCGGACCAGCCCAGAACCCCCGCGAAAGCCGGGGACAGTCACCCGGGGCCCGGGGCCGCTCAGCGCCTGACCCTGGCCGTCCCTGCTGTCCACCCAGCCCGCCCAGCGGAGGCCGCAGCTCCCGTCACCAGCCCCCTGACCCCAGGTCGCTGTCTCCCCGGGCCCCCCGCGGGGACCCCACCGGCCTGCACCCCGGGAGGCGCCTGCCTCATCAGGTCTCGGCTCTGACAGGGCACTCGCCTTCCGAGGGGTGTCCCTGCCCCGGATACGCTCTCCGCGGCGCCCCAGCCCTGCTGCCCTGGGCCTGGCTGCTGCCCTGGGCCTGGCTGCTGCCCTGTGGAAACGCGATGCCGCCGCCTGCGCCCCTGCAGCTCCCAGATCCCCTGACACGCTCCCCGGGCCCCTGCCGGCCGCCCAGACCTGGGACACAGAAGTCCCCTCAAACCCGGCTCCCTGCCCAGCTGGGCCCCACCTGTGGGCCCCACCTGTGTGCCCCGGGAGGTCTGGGCAGGTCCTCGGGACCCAGGAGCCGGGCGTGGGGATGGGAAGGAGGCGAGGCCTGGAGGAGCGTCCCCCTGCCCCGCTCCCGCCTGGACGCTGGCCCTCGGGCTCCACACCCCTCACGGCCGCGACTTGTGCTTGAAGGTCCTGGCCCTGCGCGGACACGGGCTCGCAGCAGCCGCCGGCCACGCCCGGACCCGGTGGCTCGGCCCTGTGGCTGCAGCGGGGGGCGGGGGGACTTGGGGGGATGGTGTGGGGGGGCTTGAGAGGCTGGGGGCTCAGCAGGCCACTCCCCCTCCTTGACCTTGGGACCAACACCAGGCCGTGAGGGACTGGGTGTCAGCACGAGCCCCCCCTGCTGTGGAAGGCTCCACGGACACTTTAACAACTGGGATATTGGATGTAACCTACACGTCAGCTGCGCCCCCACAGCCGACAGCTACGGACGGGGCTGCTCCAAGGATCGCCTCGCGGGGGTTCCCCCTGACCCCCACCCAAGTCGGCCCTGCCCAGGCCTCCCTGGGGGTGTCGGCTCCACTCTCCTTGGGGTGTGCCTCTTCACGGCTTTCCCCGCTCCCTGGGTCTGTCTGTGCGGTCGAGTTGTCCGGCTCCTCCTCCCCTGCGAGCCGGCCGGCTGCTGGCTTCCCCGGGGCCCAGCGCCCCGATGGCGGCCCTGGAGCTCCCTGTGTGCCAAGTCACCCACCCTCCGCTTCCCCTTTCCCCGTAGCTGCCCGCTGGCCCGTCCTCTCTGTCCTCTAGAATGTGGGCTCTGCTTGCTTTGTCCTTCTGCTTTCAGGCTCCCCTCCAGACAGGCGCCCCCAGGTTTGCTGGGGCCTGGGGATCACTCCCCTCCCCTCATCTTCCGTTTCTCTCTCGCTGCGTGAATTCTCTAGAAATGCGCTCTTTGGTTTCCAGAATGATGGCGATGTTCTAGACAGCCCACTTCACGGGTGGAAAGCCTCGTGCTCGGAAGTTCTGCCCGTGTGGGCTGAGGAGCGCCCCACGACGTGCCACCCGCACCCCCGGGGCACGCGCTCAGCCTGGGGGTCTCGAGAAGGCTGCTCGGCGAGTGTGGCGTCCTGTGAGCCTCGGCGGGTGGTCGGCCCGTCCTGCCCTCCATCCTCACGGGGCTCATGGCCTGTCCTGCAAACCCCCAAGGACCGGGGGCCGGCGGCGGCGGCTGGGCAGCGGCCAGGGCATGGCTGGGCCCCCTCCATGCTGGACACTCCGCAGTGCAGGGCTCGGCTCTGGGAAGCGTCGTGGGTCACCCCCCTTTCCCGCCCAGCGCGGCCTGAGGGGTGTTGGCTCTTCTTGGCTGCCTGTCTGGCGGGACCCGCCAACAAACCATCTGCGCTGAAGTTCTACTCGGGACTGATTCTGTGCCTGATTCAGCGCCTAAAAATCTTCTTTTAATGAGTAATTTTCTGCATTTCCAGGAATTTCTCCATTTCATTTAAAATCCTTGAACGCAGTGGCACGAGCTCTTCGGTCGGCCTCGCTGTTTTCGGAGCAAGCGGGCAGATGCTCTGGGCCGAGCTGGTCTCTGCTCTGTGGGCCCCACGGCCGGGCCTGTGCTCCCCGCGTCAGCTGCTCCTTTATTCCGCTGAGGTTTGGTTCACTCTGAGCCCCCAGGGGCTGCTCCGTGCCCCGCTTTCCCTGCCCTGGTGCCCCCCGGCGGGTGCAGGCCCCACGAGAGCCCCGACCGCGCCCCGCGCGTCCGGCCTCTGAGTCTTCATCGCGGCTTGTTTTCAAGCATTCTCTGAGCCTGGCCCCGAGCCGGGCCGCGCTGTCCGGAGCGTGTGTGCCGCCAGCACCTGGCTCTGTCTCGTCGCCTTTTGGTGGCGGTTTCTGGCTTCACCGCACCTCGGCCAGAGAACACACTCGTGTGATTTTAAGTCGGAACATTTTCACACTTGCGCAGAATTAGCCGGATCTTCGCGCGAGCTCTGCTTGGGCTCCACGGTCCCGGGCGGCGTGGTGGAGCGCGGCTTCCCCGGCACGGGGCGGGTCGGGGGCGGGGGTTGTTGGGGGTGGCCTCCTGGCCCCTCCGCTGTTCCTGTTTATCCTGAGTCTCCGCGGCAGGCAGGGGTGTTAGCTGCTGCCACAAGGTTGTGGATTGTTCTAGTTCTCTTGTGCTTTTCTTAGTTGTACTTGACATACTTTTAGGTTATGTTATTACATGATTCACTTTTTCTTTAAAAAGATTTATTTATTTATGCATGAAAACTGGGGTGCAGGCCAGAGGTGTGGGGGGGTGAGAGGATCCACCAGAGACAGAGTGGGGAGCAGAACAGGCAGATTGACTGAAATGCACTGCTGAGGGGAGCAGCGGGCGAGTCAGGAGGGGTCTGCTGCGCCGTGTGGGTAGCTCCCTGGCCGGGGATCGAACTCAGGCCACAGTGACTGCTGATAGCCTCATGTGCGGTGCTTAACCCCTGCGCCACCGGGGAGGCCCTAATTCATTTTTCAAGTGCTGTATCTTGACCTCCCCGGGGGCGCAGCGGGTTGAGCGCAGCGCTGTGAGGCTGTCCCCAGCCTCTGCTGTGCCGGTTCGATCCCGGCCAGCTGCGGAGCAACCCCCATGGTGAGCAGACCTCTCCCGTCTCCCCGCTGCTCCCCTCAGCAGTGGGTTTCAGTCCGTCTGCCTGTTCTGTTCCCCGCTCTGTCTCTGGTGAATCCTCTCACCCCCCACACCTCTGGCCTGCACCCCAGCTCTTGTATAGATAAATAAATCTTTAAAAATAAATAAATAAGTAAATGCCGTATCTTCCTGTGAGCAGACCCTCATAACACAGACGAGGTGGCCTTTAACTCGGTGCCGTGAGTTGCCGGCGGCGCTGGGGCCGGCGTCTGGCTGGGGCAGGTGTCGGGTGGGGCCGGCGCCCTGTGGCTGCGCCAGCTTTGGAGGCGGGTTTCCCACTTCCTCTCGCGGCTCCTCTGCACGGGCCCGAGCGGCCCCTGGGTACGGCCCTTTCTCCCTCCACACGTTCAGGCTTTTTCTTTGTCTCAGTTGCCGGCTTGGCAGGTTCTCAGGCCTCGTTTCTTCAGACCCGTCTGTACCCCGCTGTCCGCCGGCACGTGGTGGGGGGGCGGCCCTTCCAGGGGCCCGCCAGGAGGCGTCCAGGTGTGGGCCGCGCCAGGATTCAGGCCCCCGCCCGCCCGGTGCCCGCGCGGAGCGCCTGGCCGGGGCAGCCGCTGCTGGAGACGTAGATCTAGGCGGATTCTTTTTTTCCCATTTCTTTGCTGAGCTTTTCTGGCCTGGCTTTTTGCAAGAGTGTTTGCTCTTGCCCGTGGGAGCCGCGCCGCTGGCGCCCTCCCGGTGGCTGCCGCCCGCCCACACCCACACCCCCGAAGCCGGGCTCTGCTGCCGGGCGGGCCGGGGTGCTGGCCGAGTGTCCCCGGGAGACGCGCTGGTCCCGTCCTGCGGGGAGGCTGACGGCTGGCGCTGGCCCTCGGCGCTGGCCCGGAGCCCCCGCGGTCTTGGCAGTTCGGATCTGCCCCGGGGCTCCCCCAGGGGCCTGGGCAGGGGCTCCCCGTCCACCCCCACGGGGCCCGGCAGCTGCTGGGGCGGCACCCCGCTTTCTTACACTGACCTCCTCGGCCCCCTCTCTCCGCAGCTCCTCGATGCTCCGGTCCCCAGAGAACCTGCCAGGCCACAAAGCCTCACAGCCAGAGTTTGCTTCTGCGCCCGATCACGGCTCTGACCGCCCGGCCTGCGCGGTCGGCAGGGAGGGGCGGCGGGGAGCTTCCCTTCCCAGCAGGGCCGGCGTCCCCCGAGAACTGGGGGCCTGCCTTGGCCCCGGCATGGCTCCCCGGAGCGCTAGCTGGGCCGGGTGGGCAGTGACTTGAAACCTGGGGCCAGTGTGGCCAGAAGCTGGTGGGCAGGGAAGGCCTCCGTGGGCAGAGAGGACCCAGAGGTGCCCGGCCCGGCAGCGCCCTGCTCCCTCGAGTGGAGGCCTGGGCTTGCCGGTGCTGCTTTCTATGGAGTCAAGTGGGCAAGGTCAGCGATGCGTCCAGGCCCAGGG